AGGCAGAGAGGCGGAGAGAGGCAGAGAGGCAGAGAGGCAGAGAGAGGCAGAGAGGCAGAGAGGCAGAGGCAGAGGCAGAGGCTTAGAGACCGGAATATGCACTCTAAAATCCTGGCATTTGCCTGTCTCTGGAGCCTTCATTCCCAACGGGACAAAAAAGAATGAAGTAAGTCATGTGTAGACAAACAGTTCTTCCTGCTTCTCAGCAGGCCAAGAGAATAGTTAAGTTAGGAAAGAGCTGTGCCAAATACCCATGTCTCCCGTCTTTTGGTGAATCTAATGTGGAATCCCTGAGCCATGATAATGTATATCCTTTTATATCTTACTTAAAGACACCTGGAGGTGAAAAGAAGACTGGGCAGCCCCCCCCCCAGGAGTATATGCCAGCATACAACTGACAGTACACACCCAGGTCTATTTATGATGGAGGTGACCATGACCAGCTTCTTTTTCAGGTTGCCCTGTGTATCACACAAAGAGTGGAAGCTGGATCAACCTTAAAGAACTGCTGTAAAAATGGGTATTTCCATGAAGACAGAGAAACCAGAGAAAATCACCAGTAAATCTGCATTATTATCGATTCACTGGTAAATTGAGCATGGGTAGCAACACTGTTTAAAATGCTCTGTCACTCAATCACTCAGCATTTACTGCTAAACAACTGCCAGACTATGCTCGTGTTCTGGGCAGAGACTTAACCTCTCCCAGAAGCTGAAGTTCTAGCAGACAGAATTGTAAGCATACAAAGGAACGAGTTTCCTAGCCGCAGGCAAACAAGTAACAAATGTTGGCTAACAGAATTTGTTTACCAAACAGTGTATTTTACAAAGAACAAAAAGTTAGCTACAAATCAAAACAACTCTGAGATTCCATCTTGCATCTGTCAGAATGGCTAATATCAAAAACCATAAGCTGCAGCTCATGCTGGTGAGGATGTGGAGCAAGGGGAACACTCCTCCATTGTTGGTGGGAGTGCAAAGTTGTACAGCTACTCTAGAAGTCAGTGTGGCAGTTTCTCAGAAAACTGGGACTCAATCTACTCCAAGATCCTGTTATACCACTCTTGGGCATATACTAGAAGGATGCCCAATCATACCACAAGGACACTTGCTCAACTTTGTTCATCACAACTTTGTAATAGCCAGAACCCTGAAATAATCTAGATGCTCTTCAACCAAAGAGTGGATAAAGAAAATGTGGTACATTTACACAATGGAGTATTACTCAGCAGTTAGAAGCAAGGACACCAAGAAATTTGAAGGAAAATAGGAACTAGAAAAAAATCATCCTGAGTGAGGTAATTCAGACTGAGAAAGATGAACACGATATGCTTATATAATAGCTGTAAAATAAAGGACAACCATGCTGCATTCCACAGCCTTAGAGAGGCTAGGTAACAAGGAGGGTTCACAGGGGACATCCAGTCCTCCCTGGGAAGGGAAACAGAAGAGATTTTGTGAGTTGACTGAAGGTGGGCTGGGATGTGAATGTGAGCGATAAGGTTGGGGAAGTGGGGAGTACTGGAAGATACTACTGAAAAAGGGGGTGCATTTCTGGGTCAGATAAAACTTGACACAAGGCAATTTCCCTGGACTCTACAAAGACCCCAGCTTAGACTCCTAGCAATAGCAGATACCAGAATGGTACCAAGCCAAATCATCATCCAAGAGGTGTCATCCAGCAACTGATGGAAACAGACTCACAGCCCGACGTATTCAGAGTTTGGGGGAATTCTCCAGAAGGGAAGGAGAAAGGATTATAGAAGCCAGAGGGGTCAAGGACACCACAGGAAAACTCATAGAAGCAACTAACCTGGGTTCATAGGGGCTCACAGAGACTGAACCGACAACCAGGGAGTCTGCATGGGATGGACCTAGGCACTCTGCATATGTTACCATTGTGTAGCTTGGTCCTTTTGTGGGACTGCTAACATTGGGAACAGGGAATGCCTCCAACCCCGTTTACAGGCCTTTGAAACCCTACTCTTTCTGGACCACTTGCCCTTAACACATGGGAAGGTGCTTAGTCTTACTACAACTTGATATGCCATGTTTTGTTGATACTCATGGGAGACCTGCTCTTTTAAAAACAGAAATGGAGGAGGAATAGATTGTGGGTGGGAAAAGAGGGGGGTTGGCGGGGAGGGACAGGGAGGAGTGGAGGGAGGAGTAACTGTGGCCAGAACGTAAAATAAATAAATAAATAAATAAATAATTTTTTTTTGAAAAAAACGTTCCGTACATTAAAGATGTTTTTTGAGATAAGGTCTCACTAGGTAGCCTAGGCTAGCCTAGAATTCACAGTGTATCCCAAGTTGTCCTTGAACTCTCAGAGACCTCTTGTCTTTGTTTCCCAAATTCTGGTATTACAGTCCTGAGTCACCATATCAAGATCATTATATTTTCTTTTCTTTTTTCTTTTTTTATAATTGCAATTAGACCAATTTTAAATTAGAAACAAGCCTCTTTCACATGTCAATCCCAGTTCCCTCTCCTTCCCCTCCTCTCCTGCCCCCCACCACCTATCCCAACCCTTTTCTGCTCACCAGGGATGATAAGGCCTTCCATGGGGGAATCTTCAAATTCTGTCATATCATTTGGAGCAGGGCCTAGACCCTCCCCTGTGTGTTTAGGCTGAGAGAGTATCTGTCTCAACATCAATGTTCTTAGACTACAGAATTCACTATGTAACTTAGCATAGTCCTCATAGTTGAAAACTTAAGTGTTGTAGGCAACTAAGTGATACTGTATTTGTTTGGGATTCATATTAGATTTGGTAAATGTGAAAAGCTCAAATAAAATATTGTGTTCTTTTCAAATGTTCACATTTAGCCTCATATGTCACAAGGATCCAAGTCAGGTGGATATGCTTGTTTGAATAGTTCTCAGGAAGTGCACAGGCCTTGTTTAATGAAGGAAACTCTACTAGGCTTTAACTCAAGAGTATTTACTAGGTCTTTAAAAATATGTACCTACTAGGCCTTAAAAAGGGGAAGTCTGCTAGGTCTTACTACTGTCTGAATCATTATTTTCTTCCACCTCCATTGAAAGTTAGCTATTAAATATTTGTTTAGATAGATAGATGATTGATAGATAGATGATAGAAAGATAGATCATTTATTGCTAGGTAATAACAAAACAGCATTGCTGGTCTTGTCTCAGTGACAGGATTATTCTTTTTCTGCATGGTGACTCCTCAGATCACCATGGAGGTTATATAGAGAACATGACTCAAGATATAGACTGATCATGCCATAAAGACACATCACGTGTTTAGAGGGTTAGAATGTTCTTATCTGCCTGACTTCTAGGGAGGTGGGGGACTAGAGACATTCCAATCTCATAACCAAGGATTTTAGCAGCCATGTCTAAGTACTGAAACCCGAATATAAACTGAACACTGAGGCTCAAGTCAGCTTTGGAGCTAGTAAACCCCAAAGTGTCAGGAAAGCAATCATTGCAACCCACCAGGGTGAAGGGATGGATGGACAACTCAAGCATTATAGATACCCCATGTGTGCAGTTGAAGGCCATGCAAGAGGCATGGAGGGTGTGTGGACATCAGAGAACAACCTTCCAAAGTCAGTGTCTTCTGCAGTGTTGGTTCTGGGGATTGAACTCAGGTCCTCAGCATCCCAACATACTGAACCATTTGCCAGCCCCTCCCCCATGTATGTTTTTATTTGTCTAATTTTTAAAAGATTTTATTTATTTATTATATATACATTCTTCTGCCTTCATGCCAGCAGAGGGCACCAGATTGCATTCCAGGTGGTTGTGAGCCACCATGTGGTTGCCGGGAATTGAACTCAGGACCTCTGGAAGAGCAGTCAGTGCTCTTAACCACTGAGCCATCTCTCCAGCCCTTATTTGTCTAATTTTGATTCGTATTTCTTATAATAAAGTTTTACTCACCTGTAGAGCCCTGTCATGAGTCCTGTGAGTTGTTGCAGAAAATGATCACACCTGAAGGGGTGAGGGAACTCATTAGACTGTCAGGGTGTATGTGATCTGGAAACTTCAAACTTGTGTCAAATGCCTGATGTGAGGAAAGTCTTGTTGGAAGCAGTATTGACTCTAGGTACTTAATGTCAGAACTAAATTGAAATATGTACCCAGATAACTGAAAAAGTTACTAACCCATTTTGATTATAGAAATATAGTCAGGTACTCTTGGTCTCATACCATTTCAGAATAGCCTGAAATACAGGGGGAGGCCCTTGGTAACATCAGGACTTGCATGCCTTGTGGTTCTGGCTTGGGCAGGCAAGGGCTACTCTAAAGAGTTCCCAGTAACGTCTCCCAGAACCTAACAAAGATCTAGAGAATTAAACAAGGTAGAACAGTGCCCAGTGTGAGACTGAGTGCTGGGTTATGTCTACTTAAGAGCTACTTGAATGTCACAGAAAATAAAGCTGGCATTGAAGTCACACACTCAGAAACTGGCCAGGGAGGGAGGCCTCAAACCAAGTGCATGAAATACCTGACAAAACAGTGAGACGGTCAGCCTTCTCCATGGAGTTTAGTAAGACTCTGGTTCCACTAATTAATACTGAAAATGTCCAGGAAACAATACAAAATTATAACACACAAAGAGACTTAAAAAGGTCAACTTCTGGAAAATAATATCCAAATATGTTAATGCTAGGGTGATAGCAATGTAGACTTACCTGACAAATAATACAGGTAGTTAAAAGTGCTCCAGGGCCTAGAGAAGGCTCACTGGGTAGAGCAGCTTGCCACACAGCATGGTGGCCTGAGTTAGAGCTCCAGAACCCACACAGAGGTAGAAGAAGAAACTGACTCCACAAAGTTGTCCTTTGATCTCCACATGTGTGCCCTGGACACAGAAACACTCACACAACACACACACACACACACACACACACACACACACACACACACACACACACACACATATACATAGATAATAAAACACATGTGTGCCCTGGGCACAGGAACCTCCCCCCCACACACACACATCATATGGTAGATAATAAAACACATGTGTGCTCTGGACACAGGAAATCCCCATCACCACACACACACATTATATACATAGATAATAAAACACATGTGTGCCATGTACACAAGAACCCACCCACACACATCATATACATAGATAAAACACATGTGTGCCCTGCACACAGGAACCCCCCCCAACACACACATCATACACCCAGATACCAAAACAAAATAAAACATTACAAAATGTTCCACAAAGTCTGGAAAGACTGAAAGTCTCGGCAAAGAAATAGAAGATATAAAAGAACAGATATAAGTTTTAGAACTGAGATAATACATAAAAACGAAGAAATCTAAACATCACTGGATGAAATCAATAATTAAATGGAGACTATGCACAAAAGCTACTAACTTAATAGCAGATAAGTGAAAATTATCCAGCCAGACAGAGAAATTATAAAAAATAAAAATAGAAACAATTATAGAAAAATGAAAGAACATGACACAAGTGAAAATTATGCAGCCAGACATAGAAATTATAAAAAAAAAAACAAGGATTTTTTTTTGGGGGGGGGTTCGAGACAGGGTTTCTCTGTGTAGCTTTGGAGCCTATATTGGCACTCGCTCTGGAGACCAGGCTGGCCTCGAACTCACAGAGATCTGCCTGCCTCTGCCTCCCAAGTGCTGGAATTAAAGGTGTGCGCCACCAACGCCCGGCAACAAAACAAGAGACGAATTATAGAAAAATGAAAGAACATGACCAAGGATGCAACTCAATGGTAGAATGAATGAATTCTCAAGATGGATGAGGTTCTGAGTTTGAGCACTGCATGTATCATGTCAAGTTTTGCTTCTGTTTGTTGGTTTTTAAAGGTGACTTTATAATATACTTACTTCAGAGAACACACACACACACACACACACACACACACACACACAGTTTAGCTCAACTAAATGACACAGGCCTTCCTAGAAAGACACACACTAATGGTGACTTGGTAAGAAACAGAAAACCTAAACAGAATCACGGGAAGACATTGAGTCAGTATTGAAGAATCATCCCATACAGGGAAACTAAGAACACAGGACTTCTCTGACAAACTACAAAGTTCCTTAAAAAGAATGAATGCCAAGCGTTAATAAATCTCCCAGAAGAGTGAATGCATCCCAATTAATTTTGTCAGCTCAAAGTGACCCTGATATGGCCAGACTCAGAAACTATGAAAAGAGAGATATAGTAACACTGCTTAAGAACTTAGAGCCCCAATTTCAACAAAACATTACAGAACAAACTCTAGCCACATCACTCTATGTACAGTATAACAACATGGGATTTATCTCACTAACAATACAGTGTGTTTATTTACTTGAGTGTATTTCTTACATTTTCATAAAGATTTTAGTAACGTGTTATTTTTATAACCAGCAATAGAATTTTATTATAAAAATCAACCAATATAACATACTACCAAAATGGAAAGCAAAACTTCACTTAATCACAATACACCCCAGAAAAACCTCTAAGGAATCCAATTTCCTTTATTGGATAAAAATATAAAGTCAAGCATTCACTAGCCTAGAAACAGAATGGAACTTCTGTAATCTGGTCAAGAGTTCATGAAGCATTTCCTAACCAGTTACAAAAGAACCAAGAAAGTCTGATTCCTCTAAGCCCCAAACCATAAGGGTGTTCAGTCCCCTCTCAATTTAGTGGTACACTGGGGAGTCCAGCTAGACCATTTATATTAGAAAAAAGAAACGAGGAAAGCAGATTAAAAATAAAAATGTATTACCTTGATCAGAATGGTTTCTTCTAGTTCCATCCATTTTCCTGCAAATTTCAAGATTCCATTGTTTTGTTTTGTTTTGTTTTGTTTTTTCTGCTGAGTAGTACTCCATTGTGTAAATGTACCACATTTTCTCTATCCATTCTTTGGTTGAGGGGCATCTAGGCTGCTTCCAGTTTCTGGCTACTACAAATAATGCTGCAATGAGCATACTTGAACAGATGTCCTTGTTGTATGAATGTGCTTCTTTTGGGTGTATGCCTAAGAGTGGAATTGCTGGATCTTGTGGTAGACAGATTCCCATTTTCTTGAGGAGTTGCCATACTGATTTCCAAAGTGGCTGTACAAGTTGGCACTCCCACCAGCAGTGGAGGAGTGTTCCCCTTTCTCCACATCCTCTCCAGCATAAACTGTCATTGTTGTTTTTTATTTTGGCCATTCTGATAGAAGTAAGATGGTATCTCATTGATTTGCATTTCCCTAAGAAACCATTCTGAGCAAGGTAACCCAGTCACAAAAAGACAAACATGAAATGTACTCACTCATATGTGGATTTTAGACATAGAGTAAAGGATTACCAGCCTACAATCCACACTGCCAGAGAAGCTAGCAAACAAGGAGGACCCTAAGAAAGACATACATGGTCCCTTGGAGAAGGGGAAAGGATCAAGATCCCCTGAGCAAATTGAGAGCACGGGAAGAGTGGGGAGGGAGCTAGGAGAATGAGAAGGGGAGAAGAGGAGGGATGCAGAGGACATGAGGGAGTACAAAGGTTTGAATCAGGGGAAGAAAATAAGATAACAAGAATGGAGATACCATAATAGAGGGAGACATTTTAGGTTTACAAAGAAATCAGGAACTAGAGAAATGTCTGGAAATCTACAAAGATGACACCAGCTAACAATCTAAGCAACAGAGGAGAGGCTACCTCAAATGCCCTCCCCTGATAATGAGATTGTTGACTGACTTATACACCATCCTATAGCCTTCATCCAGCAGCTGGTGGAAGTAGAAGCAGACTCCCACAACTAATCACTGAACTGAACTGGAATCCAGATGCAGAGGACTAATGAAGAGAAATGGGGTCTAGGCCAGGCTGGTGAAACCCACAGAAACAACTGACCTGAACATAGGGGGACTCTTGCTCCCCAGACTGATAGCTGGGATACTAGCATGGGACTGATCCAGACCCCAGGAACATGGGTTTCATTGAGGAAACCTCTGAAATCTACAGGACCTCCTGTAGTAGTTCAGTCCTTATCCCTAGCATAGGTGTGGACCTTGGGAGCCCATTCCACAGAGAGGAATACTCCCTGAGCCCAGACACACGGGGATGGGCCTAGGCCCTATCCCAAAGTATGATAGACTCTGATGACACACTATGGAAGGCCTCACCATCCAGGGGAGCAGAAAGGATATGTGATAAGTAGGGTTTTAGTTTGGGGGTGGTAGGGGAGGGTGGGAGGGAGAAGGGAACTGGGATTGTCATGTAAAACAATCTTGTTTCTAATTCAAATTTAAAAAGATGAAAAAAAATGTGTAGCCGAGTGGTGGTGGTGGTTCACACCTTTAATCCCAGTACTTGGGAGGCAGAGGCAGGTGGATCTCTGGGTTTGAAACAAGCCTGCTCTCCATAGAGCCAAGACAGCCAGGGCTACACAGAGAAATCCTGTTTCAAACACACAAATTAAATAAGTAAAAATGTGAAATTTCTACATTTCTTCTGTATAGAGGTTTCTGGGGAAGTCACTAAGAACCGTTCAGAAAATGGAAAATCTGTGTAATGTGATCAGACAGAGAAGCAACAAGCAATAGAAAGAGAAAGGGAGGGAGAGGAAGAGAGAGGGAAAAAAGGAAAGAGGGAGGAGACAAACGGGGAGGGAAGAGAGCAGCTATCAAGACAGTAACGATGTCATGTTCTCTACAATCACCTTTTTAAACATAAGCACTTTTCCTCTATTTAAAATCTCAGAGATTCTCTAATGGTTTTGCTTTAAGTGGCATCCTTATTTTCCAACAAAGCATCCAGACTGGAAACAAGCAGCGGCAGCTATAAACTGAGTGACAACATAGCATGCTGACTAGGAAAATACCTCACAAGGAAACATCATAAACTAATAATCCAGAAATATAGACACAAATGGTTTTGCAAGGACAGTGAAATATTCACAGGGCAATCTGTGATGTTTAAATGTAGTTTGTCAAAATCCCAAAGAGAGAAAATATGTTTAAAATAAACCCTATTTCTTCTTTACACATTCTATAATAGGTATGTTATATTCTGAACTTTTAAAAAAAAGTCAAATGGAAAACAAAGCTGGCAATGCATTCCTTCAGTGAGTCCACAATGAAACTGTCCTTAGAGTTTACCAGACATGCAAGCTGAATGCACACCTCATCATATAACTCTCCTAATAGATCTTAAGCAGCTTCGTGGCATCTTCGTGACATGAAGTGTTAGACGTTTTATGGGGTTCTTTGTGAAGAGAGAGCTAGCAGTGGAGGGGCTAAATATTGAGTATATTAAGGGTCACTAAAGGACTCAGTCAGTCATATTCCACAGTTCTGCAATGGAAGAGGTGCTGCTGTGTGGGCAGGAGTTGAGAAAGTGCCAAATGCAGGAAGTGTAGATAGGGTTTTTTATTGTTAAGATAAAGGTGACAGTAAAGAAAAAAAATGCCATGCATATAAACCCATCGGAAATATGTGCATAACAGATATACATAAAACTTCACTGCATCAACTCAACCCTACAAGGAACTGGAGAAGCCACTTTTTCAATGAACGAATGAAAACGTTGAAAAAAAATACCAATCAAACTTTGGTGTTACATTTATAACTTAAAATATTCCTTATTGACTCAGATTAAAGTAAGTGTAACTTAAATATATCAAAACATGCAGAGATAGTCTCTTTCCTTTTATTCTCAAATTATATATACTGTATAACAAGAAAAATGTTGAATATTTATTGTATTTGTAGGATTCTAACTCATATTAATAAAATATGCTGAGGCTGTTAAAAATATTCCTTATTTTACTCACAGCATGAACCCTCCCAAAGAAAAAGTGCATAGGTGACTATTTCCCTCTCTTTACCAAATGTTAAGGATCTTGTGGGCTGTATGGGGGGAATGTATTCCAGAATAAAGGCTGTATTAAAATGGAAGCACAATAAGTGCAAATTCTTTGAAACGTTGATTTGTTCTTTTCATTTTAGCTTTCAAAAAGGAAATGTTTTCATTATAGAGTATACAAAAACATTCTCACTACATTTATACAGAGCATTATATTTGAACTATCTATATAAGGATCATTACCAAGCCTAGTTTACTACCAGGAATGTTTCCAAGTCAAGACTGTATTATCTTTTGGTTATATACACAGAAAGGCATGTATGGCTTACTTTAGATAACCTTGAACAGTTATGCACATTAAAGAGATTTCTTAACGTACACATGATCTGAAAGCAGTCACTCAAGCAGTTAAGTAGTTGCATAAAACGAACTCATTCCCCATTTCTCATCTATATATTGTACTTTCTGTGTTCCAACTATACATTATCTGTGTAGTTTTGTGTATGTAATATGTATATTGGGTGTGTGTGTTATCTTTTCATAGAGACAGGCATCTTCCATATTTTATCTTATTAAAATGTCTATTCTCATTTAATAGAACTATTCTTATTTAATGACTGGATATATTTGACTGCTTAACAGTGGAATTTTAAATTATTCCATAATTTATGCTATCAAAAACAATTGTGAAACAAACATGTAGAAAACTCTGTATATCAATATCTTAAATTCCAGAAGAAGAGTAAGTGGGTAAAATATTTGTGTACTTTAAACACTGTTGAATTGATATCCAAAGACTTTAAACCAATTCACATACTGGACAAAAGAATGAATGGCATCGTGGTTTTTTACAGTTTTTGTTATTGTCGATCTTTCAGGAAAAGAAAATTTGGCTTGATTTCCCAGATACCTTGTAATGGAGGGGGGTTAGTAGCTTTAATTGCATCTGGAAGTCATTTCCATCTCCACTGCAGGAAATGTCTCATTTGTCATTTGCTCATTTTCTGTTTATTAGTTTTCATTTCTTTGACATTTATAGGAAGAGCATTAAAATTTTATGTTAAGACTTTTTCCAAATGTTTTCATTTTTCTCATTCAGTGCTTTGATTTTTTGTTTTTCAGGATAGCTGTTTTCTTCTTAAATAATACTAAATACTATGTATTTAGTGTAGAAAACTATGTACTGTTAAGGTTTAGCACGATGCTAGTGAAATATAGAATAAATATGACCTCACCTTTATTTTTCTATTTTTGACAGCGTTAATGATTATATTATGATGCTTAGTACACAAAAATTTTGTTCTTTTTCTCTATAATAAACATCATAACCATTAATATTCTTGAAAAAGAAAATGGGGTTTCCCAAGGAAGTATCTCAAAGGGATCTTTGAAAAAAATAAAGTGAAGTGCTAGACAGATAGCTCATCTGTTAAAGGCTAGGCTCACAATCAAAAAAAAAAAAAATCCTCAGGAAAGATAACACAGTTTTTCTCTATAGAAAATGATAGCTACTCAATCCAGAAAGGAAATATATACATGAATTACATACCACAGGTATTCTCTGAAACTTTATTACTTTTCTTATTATAACATCGGTTTTATAAACACCTGTACATAAATATATAAGAGGATATGAACATGCAAAGTGACAACAATTCATTCTGTATTCCAAGTGTTCTCAAAGGCTAAGTCATACACACAGGCTGTAAGTGTGTATTCATTGACTCACATTCTTTTGCTTATGTTTATATTTTAACTAGTACTTTGCCATACTTCTATGTTAGAACATTTAGCCTTCCCAAAGTCTCGTGCTTTAGACTATATATCTTCTGTCTCCTGGTGCACCATAAAATAAGATTTTAAAAGATTAAGAAGTTTTGTTTTGTTTTGTTTTGTTTTGTTTTGAATTTTGTACTATTCTATACTAAGTTATTCTGTTTTGGTTGTGCTTCCCCGGGTACCTGTAGTTGAGCCTCAAATGACTGAATAAAAAGTGATGGAACTAAACTTTCTAGCTGTTTCTAAATCAGCTGCTTCTTGTGGACATTCAAAGAATGTACTTACATTATGCATAAAGTGACAGCTTTGTGTCCCCTGTTCTGGTGAAGTCATTAGCCCATACAAATGTCACAGTGTGGCTAATTTAATGGCAACGCCGTTGCTTCCTTATTTCCCATGACAAGGGGCAGAAAGGTGGATGTTGTGTGCTTACTTCTGCAGTATCATCTGGTTCCCTGAACTAACGACCATGGAAATCAACCTAACTGCACAATGTCTTCATTTGTACATACGTTGTTGCTGGCTCCACATAAAATATTCCACACAAAATAAAAACACAGCAAACTGAGGATCTTAAGAGTATATACATTCACACAATAAATACAATATTGTACTCTGATAACAGGAGAAAACAGGCTCTATCTTGCCACACCGTTGGATGGTCTGCCCATCCAACACCGTTATCTAAACCTATCTGAGGCCTAAGGAGCAGCAAGGAGGGGGACTGGCTGCCACAGGAGCCAGAGGGAAACGCCTAGAGAGCATTGCCTGAGTAGGGCCTGCACCCTCAGGAGTTCATGTCACCAGAGCCCAATGACTCTCCCATAGAGCCTTCACCTGGCCCCCCATTGCTGTGTCAGAACCAGGGTGCAGATAGGACCCCAAGGCAGGAAATCCCGCCCCACACCACCAGGCCAAAGTTGCGCAAGCACCTGCGGCTGAGCTCCAGCCTGGGGCGCTGCCCCGCCTCCATCTCTGCCAGGGACCCCGCGGCCTCCCGCATCCCGCAAACTTCCCGGGACCCCCGCTCCCCGACGGCCCCGCTCACCGCCCGCATCTGCAGGCGCCTCCGGCCGCGCTCCACTATCCTGCCCGGGGAGGGCGGGAGGCGCAGAGGAGGTGGGGCCATCGACGGCGGGCAGCTGGGCAAGGCTCCTAGGGAGGGCTTCCTGCAGGGTGGGGCGCCGGCGTCCTGAACCCCAGCCAAGACAGTGGAAAACAAGTTGCGGGCGCCAGCGGAGCCCGCGGGGCAGCGCTTGGATTTGGCTCCTCTGCTTTCGGGCGGGCCTAGCTTCTCAGACTCACCGCTCTGATCTGGGTGGGAGAGGGACAGCTAGGCAAAATGGGGTGCTGGTGGGGACAAGAGCAGGCCTGCTCTTGGTTTCTCATTCCAGTAAGAGGACATTGGTTAATTAACGCTCTGGAGCACAAATACTGTACCACACTAAAGCGGTTCAACCCTGCCCAGGAAGATGGAAGGAAGAGGGCAAAATGTCCATTGACCTCACACAAAATCACAACTGGACACAAACAGATCTGAGAACTTGGCTTTGCTGTGCTCTGGGAGGAGTTTACATGGGGCAGGCACTTGGGAGTGAAGTTCTGGGATTTTCCATTTTGCTTCGCACGTGATTCCTCAGAATAGATTTATGTTCTTGTCAGCAATAACTGCAAAAAAAAAAAAAGAAAAAAAGAAACACTTCTGAAATGAAGAAATAGTGTATTGAAAACATAAAACAGAGACCCTGACATCAAAGTTAGCAAAATTTAATGTTTAGCTTTGTTTTCAACTTGTTGAAGGGACCAAGAAATTGAGCTTGTGAATGTAAATATCTACAGTGGCCACATGAGAGATACCAAAAATTCAAGATCAAAACGTGTTTGTGAAACATTGTTGGAGAGACAAAATATGTGAGAGCAACCACACACCCCTCTCAAAGGCTGTGAGCCATGCCAAAATGACCAGAAATCTGCATTTTCAGAGCAGGGACCCTCCAACATGAACCCTTCAGTGGGGGGTGGGGTTGACTGATGCCTTCTGTCTGCCGCCTTCTTCTGCTTCCTACTCATGTCCCTTTGAAATTCGTTCCTTGGGTTGTTTTTGTGTCAGATTTACAACAGTCTAAATAAATGTGATACTTTTTATGAATTGGTCCCCATAAGCTCATCGGGAGTGGCACTATTAGGAGGTGTGTGGCTTTGATGGAGCAAGTGTACCACTGTGGGGGGTGGGCTTGGAGGTCTCCTCTGCCTAAGTTTTGCTCAGTGCAACACTCAGACAACTTCCTGCTGCCTGAGATGAAGATGTAGAACTCATAGCTACATCTCCAGCACCATGTGTGCTGCAGGATGCCTTTTCTCACCATGATGATAATAGACTAAGTCTCTGAACTGCAAGCCAATTGAATGTTTTCCTTTATAAGAGTTTTCATGATCATGGTGTCTCTTCACAGCAATAGATACCCTAAGCAAGACAGTTGCTATTGGAGTAGTCCAGTAAAATTAAAGTTTTCATAATGGCGCTTTACATTTTCTCAATCCTATGTTTCTGCTGTATGTTTACATACGCACATGTTATAAACTGTGACGAGGTTTTCTTCAGCAATCACTTATCTTTTGCCAAAACTTAAGAGAAAAAAAATAAGATTGCATATGTAACTGTCAGCGCCAGCTGACCAGTCAACCTGGATATTTAAATAGGGGTGCGAGGATTATACAAAACAAAGACAGAACAGAATCAGGATAACTGTCAGTCAATACTGAAGCCCTGAGTTTATTTCTCAGCCTGCTTATATACAAACTAAAAGACAGAAGGAGAACAATGCTGACACAGTATAGGCAAATATACTGTCTTAAGAAAATCATATCCCAATCCTGTCATTGAGTCAAGGAGCAAGCAAATCTCCCACAATGTACCTCCTGAAAGCTGTACAAGATCAACCTGCCTCTGCCTCTGCTTCCCAAGTACTGGTGCCACCACCTGGTGACAAGTAGGAACTTTAAAGCAGCTTTAATTTGCATCTCCCTAATAACTAAGGTTGTCAAACATTCATTCAAATATTCATTGACCATTTATATTTCTTCCATTCATTAGACCATTTACTGATTAGATTTTTTGTTTGGCAATTATTTATTGTAGTATTGTAGTATTATAAATACTAACCCCTTTTCTGATAAAGAGTTGGCAAATATTTTTTCTCATTTTGTAGACTGTCTCAGATTGTTTCTTTGGCTCTACATAATCTTTTAGCATCTCATAGTCCCATTTGTCAAATCTGAGGATTATTTCCTGTGATACTCATTTTCTCATCAGAAAGTCCTTTCTTGTACCTGTATCTGGAAGTCACAACCTACCTATATGTTAGTCTATCTACTTTGAAGTCCAGTCTTATATTAAAGTCTTGGATTAATTTTGAATTGATATTTGTATTGGTGAGATATATGGATCTTATTATCTGAGCCCACCCTCTCTCCCAGTGTTAGTTTTTGGCATTTTTTTGGGGGGGGTTCAAGACAGAGTTTTTCTGTGTAGCTTTGGAGCCTATCCTAGTACTCACCCTGTAGACCAGGCTGGCCTCCAACTCACAAAGATCTGCCTGCCTCTGCCTCCCAAGTGCTGGGATTAAAGGCACCACCAATGCCTGGCTAGTTTTTGGCAATTTTGCAAACAGAAAAAAATATTAAGTGACCATAGCTCTGTGGACTTATTTTTGGGTTGTCTCTATGCTGTGTCTGTTTGGGAACAGTGCCATGTTATTTTTATTACTGTGGTTCTTATATAATTTGAGATCAGACACTGTGTGTGATATTCCAGCCTTGATTTTTCTGATCAGAATTGCTTTGGCCATTTGAGTCTTTTTGTGCTTCCAATATAAACTTAAATTTTTTGTTGTTGTTGTTCTTTGGAAAATGCCATTGAAATTTGGTGGAGAATGTGTTGAGTCTGTAGTTTTACTTCTGTTCCATAGTTGTTTTCACAGTATTCATTTCATCAATCTATGCTCATGGAATATCACTCCATCTTCTAGGGTATTCTTCAACTTCTTTCTCTTGTGCTTTAACATTTTATTACCAAGTTTTTAACCTCCTTCTTTCTTGTATTTAAAATATTTTAAGCTACTATGAATAAGACTCCCCCTTATGTTTTTATAGAAAGAGAAGTGACTTTTGTAGATTGATTTTATAATTTACTTCTCTGCTGAAAGAGTTTATCAAGCCTAAAACTGTCCTAGTTTAATTTCTGCTGCTATGATAAAACAGCCCAGTGAAAAACAAGTTAAGGAAGGAAGGGATTATTTGACTTACAGTTCTAGGTTATATAGTCAGCATAGTAGGGAAGCCAAGGCAGGAACTTAAAACATCACACAGTCAAGGACAGAAAAAGATTAAAAGCATAGATCTTGGTTGCTTGTTCTCAGTTAGCCTTCTCTTCTCTTATATTATTCAGGACCCCTTCCTCGGGAATGGTACCATTCACAAAGGGCGTGGTCTTCTCAGATCAATTAAGAATTCAACAGATATAGATACTCCCAAGAGCCTACTTAACCTGGAAATTTCCCTATTAAGGTTCCCAGACCCCAAGTGATTCTAGATTGTCTTGATAGTTAAAACTAACCAGCACAAAGTGCTCAGAAGTGTTCCTGTCTTTTAAGTAGCATATCACTAGATCCACCAAAGGGATACTTAGACTTCTTCCTTTCCTATTTTTGCTCATTTATTTCTTCCTCTGGTCTTATTGCTGAATAAAACTAACAGCACTGTTCTGAGTAAGAATGATAATAAGATTATGTTTTAGCTTTTCCTATTTAGTATAATGTTGACCCTTGGTTTGTCACATCTTAGCCTTTGTTATATTGAGATGCATTTCTATGGTTTTTTTTTTTTTTTCTGGGGCTTCATCATGAATGGATGCTGAAATTTGTCCAAGAGCTTATCTGCATCTATTGAGATTATCATGTCATTTCTGTCCTCAAGTCTTTTTATGTGTTAAATATGGGAATTGAGTTGTGTATGTTTCACTAACCCTGCCATGGGATGAAGAAATCTTAGTCATGGCATATGATAGTCTAATAATATGTTCTTGAATTTGGTTTGCATGTATGCATTTAAAAACACTTGTGTCCATGTTCATAAGGGCAGTCAATCATAATTTGTTTTGTTATTTTTTTCTTGTATTCTCAGCCAGTTTTGTTGCAAGGGTTGTTGTTCTTTTGTTTAAGCTGCAGCTGCTAATAAGGAAAGGAACAACGAATAATCAACCCACGTGGAGTTTATTTATCAGAGAGGGGGGAAAGAGGGGATGGACAGTCAGCCAACCCTAGGGAAGTCGAGAGAAAGAGAAAGAGGGGTGTGGGGCAGGACCTTTTAAAGGGAAGATTGCATATGCACAGTAGGGCAAAGGTCGAAAGGCATGGCGGGTGAGTGAGTACCCGCTTGTTAGGGGGCGGGGTTAGGGTCATCCAGGTGTTTTGTTCTTACAAGGGTAATGGTGCCTTCTTAAAATGAATTTAGTAGTGTTCCTTCCATTTCCATTTCATGGAACAAACAAAAAAATATAGGTATTGTCTTTTCCTTAAAGGTTTGGTAAAATTTGACAGTAAGTTTTTCTAATCATTGGCTCTTCTTTTCAGGAGGATTTTTTTTATTAGTGTTTCAAAGTCATTACTTGTTATGAATCTATTTTGTTTCTAATGTCATTGATTTAATTGTGGAAAGTCATGTGTGTGTTGAAATTTTTCCATTTCTTCTAGGTTTTTTAATTTCTTAAATTATAAATATTCAAATATTCTTTAATGGATCTTCTGTTGTAACACATCTCTTTCATCTCTAATTTTATTAATTCATCTCTTCTCTCTGTTTTTGTTAGTGTGGGTAGAGGTTTTGTAATCACACTTATTTTTTCCAAAGAACAAACTTTTCATTGACTTATCCTATGTGTTTTTCTTTTCATACCCATTTCTTTAGTTTCTGCCCTTATCTTTATTATTTCTTGCCATCTATTATTTAGGAGTTTGGCTTGCTTTTGTTTGCCTGAGACCTTGAAGTACACCATTAGACCATTTATTTGCCGTCCTTCTTATGCTTTATACTTTTTTTGTATTCATTGTGTAGGTAGGGGTGGGACATGG